ACGGGGATTATCAAAGATGACAATGGGCTCCCATCTGCTGGTGTATTCATTTGCTAGGGCTGCAGTAACAAAGTGACTTACACAACAGACACATATTGTCTCACGCTCCTGAAGGCAATGAGTCCCAGACTAAGGTGTCCACAGAACTGGTTCCTTCTGTGGACTGTGAGGGAGAATCTGTTCCAGGCCTCCCTCCTAGCGGCTGGGGTTTGCTGGCAATCTTTGCCCTTCCTTGCCTTTTAGAATCATCAACTCAGTCTCTGCCTTCATCTTCACATGGTGTTCTCCCTGTGTGCGTCTCTGTGTCCAAATTTCCCCTTTTTTATAAGGACACCAATCAGATTAGATTAGGGGTCCATCCTATTCTAATATGACATCATCTTAACTAATTATATCAACAATGACCCTATCTCCAAATAAGTTGCATTCTCAGGTCCTGGGTGTTAGGACTTCAACATATGAATGAGGGTGGGGGAATAATTCAGTCTATAACAGTTTGGTACCTACTATGTACCAGGCACTGTGTGCATACTTTTGGGTAATACTTCTAACGCTGTAACAGTTCTGCGAGGTGGGTGTTTTCATAACCATGTTACAGAGGATGAAAGCAGGGCTCAGAAAAGTAGAGGGTCTTGCCTGACGTTAGGCAACAGTAAGGCCATCTGAATGCATCACTCAACCGTTGCTGAGAACCTGGCAGCTGGCCACTGCAGCACTTTTCCCCTAGAATCCCAGACAGGAAACTGTCTCTCCATCAACTTTCTCCATATATACCACCCTGTTTAGAGTAGACTGGCTGAAGATCACTCACTTCTGTCAGATTTCAACATGAATCACTCATGAGCTATGATTCTCCAGAGTCAACGTGGCAGGTGGTCTGTGGGTGTGGAGGCTCAGATGGACATGGGAGGCAGGGTGTGCTGGGCTGGAGCTTGGCCCTCTTCTGCACACGCTGCCTTGCTTGGCAAGATTCTTCATCTTCTGAGCTAGTTTGGATACTGGGAATTCCAAGGTCCAGGGGCCACATCTGGTGAGGGCCTTCTTCACGGTCACCAGCTTATCACATGACAAGAATGGCTCATAGTATGGCAGATAATGTATGAGTTTAAGTGAATGGAGTAACCATGTTAACATTAAGTATTAGGAAAGAAAAATACCTAAGGCATATCATGAAGTGAAAGAATAAGTTGTAGGATGCTACCATTTATGTAAAAAAAAAAAAAGGATAAAACTGCACAACAAACCTATTTTGCTATGCGTACATATAAGTAGGCAAATGCATGGCAAAAGGTCTGGAAGGACATATACCAAACTCAGAGTAGTGCTTACCTTAGGGGTGAGGGATTAGTGCATGAAGAGGGTTTCCACTATACCTGTTACTTCATTTTTACACATAAGAATTAGTCAAGTATTACTTATATAACAGAAAGTAAATTTAAATTGTCTCTTATTTTAAACAGGCCAGCAAATTTGATTTTAAATAACCATAGGACTGCAATCAATAGAGGTTGATTTGGGATATGGAAGGGGAAATACCTTTCCTCAGAGGTATTAACCTCAAAATTCTGGACAAAGAAAGGACTTACAATGCATTTAGTATTTTGTATTTATATCTGGAGAGAATATACTCACAGTGTCTCAGTCCAGCGGTATGCTTCCCATACATGCTTATCAATGGAAGATATAGCGTTTCCTTGGAAATTTCTGTGAAGAAACACAGTTCACATCCATGAATAGGTAGGAAAAGAATGAACAGAAAAAGAAAAAGAGTCATGGCAACCTCGTGGGGACATTCAAATATGGAAAACACTAGCTTCTAATTTCCAGAGTTACCAGCTTCCCGGTTGGCACAATTAACAAAGAAACATGAAGTCACAGGCACAAATCATGAGGCATCCTCTCAGAATCTTAACTTCCTATATGTCCAATCTTTTGGAAAGATAATGCCAGTTAATTACTCTGAATGTAAGTACTTTTTCTAAAAATCACTACGTGTCTAAACTGACTCCTTCTACAAATCAATAAGAAAATGGTAAACAATTCAACAGAAAAATGGGTAAAAATATATCATTATCAGCAAAGAGGAATAAAGAATAATCAGCCAAAGCTTTGGTGTTATTTGGCATAAGAGCTCTCTGCAGAAACCTTTCCAGGTACTGGAAGGGTGAGGGCAATTAGAAATTAAAGGGTCTAATGTGCTGACATGGAAAGAACTCTTAGACATACTGTACAGAGCAAAAGCACAAATCACTGAGCAATAAATAAAGCATCAACTCATTAGGGAAAAAATACGAAGGAAAGAGATTGGAAGGAAGGACGTACACCAAAATGTCAGGGCTATCTTATGGGAGGGAGTGATGTCGGAGGTAGGGTCTGGGGGCCCCATAGTCAGCCTCAACCTGCCCAGTCGTCTTACCAGTTTCTTGACTCTGCCACAGGAAAGAATTCAAGGGCAGAGTCACAGACAGTGAGAACAAGTTTAATATAACATAAGAAATACAGGTTCCATGGAGGGAGTGCGGCACAGCCCAGACACACCAACTTTAATACAAAAGTTAAGTTCACTACAGACATCAAAAGCTACAAAAACATGCTTAAAGTTCAGGACAAAGTCCAGGCTGGCTCCAGAGGATGAGCAGGGCTTGCTGAAAGCAAGTTAGATACAAAGTAAAACATACACACCTCCGCCAAGTGCAGGCACCTCCAGAGGATGAGCAGCTGCTTGCTGAAACCAAGTTAGATACAAAGTAAAACATACACACCTCCGCCAAGTGCAGGCACCTCCAGAGGATGAGCAGCTGCTTGCTGAAACCAAGTTAGATACAAAGTAAAACATACACACCTCCGCCAAGTGCAGGTGCCTCCAGGAAAGTGAGCAGCAACAACCAAGCCTTCAGCTGGGATTCGGCTTTTATAGTTTCTCTATCTAAAGGATATTCAATTAAGGAGGTACTTCCCAATTATATGCACCAGAATGTTCTGTGCTCTCAACTGAGCGCAACCAACCACTGGATTGCATCAGCCAGTCCTCTGTGGTCTTATTTTCCCCCTGTTGGGGGGAAAAATAGGTCTAACTGGCAACAGTAGCTTTCCTCCAGGGGAGAGCTCAGAGGAGGGGTCTGAGACCTCAGGGAGTGGCTGGAAACCCAGAGGCATGTCCTGAAACCTGAGCCCAGGGAAACTGAGCACATCCTGTATCAGTAGGGTGCAGGGTGGGGGGAGGGGGCGATAAGAGGTATGGGGGTTCAGATTTTCACATTTTATCCTATATACTTTCATGGCTCTTAAAAAAGTGGGAGTGTCTCCATGAATTACACGTGTTTAAAAGAAGCTGTTAGATTCCTTATATTCAGTGTCAACTCTGTGGATGACTGAATCCTCACCCTTAACTCTGTCCCCGTCCCTCAGCAACAACTTACTTAATTTATATACACAATTTCCCCTGGGGAGGGGCAGAAACAAGTCAAAAGAAATACCCGTCTGCTCATCTGCCTAGTGGACACTTCCACTCAACCAGAAGCCTTTTGGTTGCTTTATGCTCATGGATAAAAGATGCCTAAAGCTGAACTCATCTCCCTCAAACTGGCTCTCCTTCCCACCTGTTACGTTTCCACCTGTTATACCACCATCCTTCTCTTCATTTTCCAGGATAGAAACTTGGAAGTTATATTTGATTCTTCTCTCCTGTACACACCATCCCCCAACTCTTTATTCAGTTACTAAGTCCCATCTGTTCTTTCTTTGAAGTGCTCCCAGGATTTTCTTTGCACACTTACCACAACCACCCTGATTCAGACCCTTTCCACACCACTCCTAGATTTTGCTACAGCTTTCTATTTAGTCTCCCTCTATTAAGCTTCCCCCTCTAGATTACTCTAAATATGTATTCTAAGTTAATCCTCCTGCTTTAATCATTTATCTGTTTTGCTTAAAATTTTCAATGGCTCTTCATCTCTCTTTGTGTAACTTTCAAAGCTCTATAGTTGATATTCAAGATTTTTTCATAATCATTGCTTCCTAACCCAATTCTTTGCAGCCAATTGATCTACTAAATTTTGATCATTCCGGCAGCCATGGCTTTGCCTAGGCCGTACTCCCTATTTTTTCTCTTTTTAACAAATTATAGCCACTCTTTAGACCCCAGGTAAAGTTTTAGCTTACCCATGCAACTTTCCCTGATCCCTACACATCAGTGATTACAAATTCTGGTGAATTACAGCTACTGTCTGCATCTAATTTAGCACTTACTTATATGTCACCTCCCTTTTTATGCCTAGTCCCTTTCTTCCCACCTATCATGTTCACATTCTGGAGACAATGTCATCCTTCTGTGGCTCCCACAGTACTTAGCCCTGGATTGGGTACAAAATGGCTGTTATCTATAGAAAGCCAGGGACAAAGATGTGTTCTCAACATAACTTAGGGACTGAACAATAATAATAATACTAATGGCTACCACTCATATGTATGCTAGGCACTGATATTATATATTGACTCATGTAAATCTCACAACAATTCTATGAAATGGTAACTATCATAATCCCCATTTTACAGATGAGGAAACCGAGTCACAGAACTAACTATCTCTCCCAAGTTCACAAAGCTAATAAATGACAAACCCAGGCAGTCTGGCTCCAGAATCTACTCTTAACCCCTTTGTTGTCTCATCACTAATTAGATGGGAAGAGACACACTGCTGTAAAGAGGGTGGCTCAAAAGTGGGAGGAGAGCAGAGGTTAAGAAATGTTATTATGGAGATAAAGAAAAACAGAATTAAAAAAGAGTCGGGGCAATCACAAGTGAAAGCCTGGAAAGGGGACACAACGGTAAAGAGAGTGAGGATAAGGGGAAGTTGACAAGCAAAAGGTAAAAGCAGAAAGTCAGTCAAAGTGGATTGGGAAGATGAGAAAGGCCTGGAAGACCTCAAGGAAAAGGCTGCCGTGCCAAGCAAGAGGGAGGGAGCAAATGAGGAAAGGTGATACCCACACAACGGCGAAGGTGCTGTTGTAGGTCTTGGGCTCTAGCACAGGCACTCGGTGGAGCCTCTGCTCTGGGCTGAGACCAGTACAGGACAGTGTCTCGTCTCTGCAGACACAGAGCTCACATAGGTTGATGCTCTTGGTGGCATTCTTTTCTGGGGTGTAATTTTCAGAAGATTCCAATGGATGCTGAGTTGTAGTAAGTTTCACATCCAAAGGGGGAACTGCGACTGGAGTCAGGTTCGGATGCTGAGTCTGCACCTGCTGTGGATGTGGAGCTGTAGTCTTCTTCAGGGCTGTAGAGTATTCAGCCTCTGTAGTAGATACTGAAGTTACAGTCAGCTGCAGGTCTAAAGGCCAAACTGCAACACTGGGCGACATTCGTGCCTGAGCTTGATCCTGACCTGGTTTTGAAACTGTCACCTCTTGATACACTGGAGGTTGAGCTGCAACCTCCTTAGGTGGTTCTGGGGGCTGAGTTGGGGTTCTCTGCCTGGTGGGAGAAGGTTTCAGCTCTGTGGTAGGTTCTGTAGTTATGGTAAGTTCCAGGTCCAATGGCTGAACTGTGACTTGCGTCAACTTTGGATGCTGAGTCTGGTCCTGGTGTGGATGTGGAGCTGTAGTCTTCTTCAGCACTGTAGAATGTTCAGCCTCCAGAGTGGGTTCTGGAGTTACGGTAAGTGCAAGATTGAAAGGTTGAGCTGTGACTGGAGTCAGGTTCGAATGGTGAGTCTGCACCTGCTGTGGATGTGGAGCTGTAGTCTTCTTCAGGGCTGTAGAGTATTCAGCCTCTGTAGTAGATACTGAAGTTACAGTCAGCTCCAGGTCTAAAGGCCAAACTGCAACACTGGGTGACGTTGGTGGCTGAACTTGATCCTGACCTGGTTTTGAAACTGTCACCTCTTGATACACTAAAGGTTGAGGTACAACCTCCTTAGGTGCTTCTGGGGGCTGAGTTGGGGTCCTCTGCATGGTGAGAGAAGGTTTCAGCTCTGTGGTAGGTTCTGTAGCTATGGTAAGTTCCAGGTCCAAAGGCTGAACTGTGACTTGTGTCAACTTTGGATGCTGAGTCTGGTCCTGGTGTGGATGTGGAGCTGTAGTCTTCTTCAGTGCTGTAGAATGCTCAGCCTCCATAGTGGGTTCTGGAGTTACGGTAAGTGCCAGATTGAAAGGTTGAGCTGTGACTGGAGTCACGTTCGGATGCTGAGCCTGAGCCTGGTCTGGATGTGGATATGTTACCTCAGGGGGCTGTGCAGAAGGAGCTGTAGTCTTCTTTAAAGTTGTAGAATGTTCAGCCTCCACAGTGGGTTCTGGAGTTATGGTAACCTCCACATCCAGAGGTTGAACTGTGATACTGGACAACGTTGGCTTCTGAGCTTGAACCTGACTTGGTGTTGGAACTCTCATCTCATAATGCACTGTAGGTTGAACTACAACTTCCTTAGATGGCTCTGGAAGCTGAGCGAGGGCCTCCTGTTGGGTTAAAGACGTTTCAACCTCCGCGAGGGCCTCCTGTTGAGTGGAAGAAGGTACTTCCTCCACAGGGGGCTGTGGAGGCTGAGCTGGGTCTTGCTGGGGTGGAGAGAATTGGATCTCTTCAGGGGGCTCTAGGTTTTGAAATAGAGCCTCTTGCTGTAATTGATTAGTTTCAGCTGGCTCAGGGGCCTCTAGACGCTCATCTGGGTCCTTCTGGGATTCTCCAGGAAATTCAGGATGAACCATATCCATACTCAAAAATCCATTAAAGTTCTCCAAGATTTGTCTCTGATGCTTAGGTTTTGATCTAAATGGGTGTGGAATTCCAAGAATCTTTGGAAGCCGTGGATGCAGAGTTAGATCTTTCTTCAGGGGTGAAACAACAAACTTTGTTTCTTTTGAACTCTCACTATCCACGGTTTGAATCTTACTTTTCAGTCCAAGAGGCAGAACCAGGGCCTGATTCTGTTGCAATTCTTGCACTGGAACCTCGTCTGGGAGCCTTTGTGGCCGAGCTAGCTTTTCACGCAGATCTTGATGCAGAACAGCAAACTGATCCGGCTCTGGGGGCAGCTCTTGAGCTGAATGCCTGCCCAGCAATGGAATCAGCTTCTTGGCCACTTCCCGAGACCGGACCAACACCTGGAAGGCAGCAGAGGATCCCAGGTAATCAAAGCTCCCTGGGGCTGCCGGGGGTGTAGACACATGGGGTGATCTGGATTGCAGTTCAGAGGAACGTGAAGACCAAGGCTCAGTCAGCTCCGGGTGGTTGGAGGTCAGTGGGACTGGGCGCCAGGCCCACTCCGGAAGGGGAGCCACCTGAACGAGCATCCATAAGGGTGCAAACGTCAGAAGCCAGAGCGCCCAAAAGCGCAACTGGCACATTATAGAAATAAATAGGAGCTCTGGGCCACAATGACCCAGACCAATTGGGTAACTGTTGCTCGCTGAGCGACAACAGAACCCTTATGGCAGCCCCTGCCATGAGAACGCCCTGAGCAGCTGTGGCCCCACCCCTGGCCCACCCTTCATTTATGACATCACTATCACTGACAATCTTTACCAGGCTCCAGCCCACAAGGGCAAGCCTTGTCCCATAATCAAGGGGCTCAAGCCTCCCTGCCCCCTGCAGAGGTGACAGTCAACTCCCGCTGCAACAGCCCTTCACTTCCTTAGTGAGGCAGGATTTGGGTCACAGACCCAGATAGCCCTGGGCCTCCAGCAGCCCATTGGGGTGGGGGGCTGCAGGGCATCCAAGGGAGTCACAGGGCCTCTCCTCTTGGGATATTCAGAAGTGCTGCTGTGCTTCTGACAGCCTGGACTCCTCCTCTTCCAAGCTGAAACATGAGAGACCTTCTTCCCCTTGGCTGTACTGCTTCCAAGAAAATGTCAATCTTAATGCCAAGATTAAGCCTTAACCCTGGTCTACATTACCAGGTAGCTGGATTATTCTACCAGTTTGTATGTCTCTCTAACTCGTGTCCCTTCCCTCTTTCCCAATAACACCAGATTAATATTCCCAGAGTGGTGCTTTCATTACTTTGTTCTGCTCAAGAACTCTTCTGCTCATATAATGTCTATTCATTACCAACACATTAAATTTAAACTTCTCAGCCTGGATGTTAATTTCCCTACAACCTGCTTCTGCCTGGCTAGTAAACCTTCTCTCTTCTTCCTGTCAATCCCATTCTGGCCAATGCTATAATATTCTACTGTCCTCTTTGTTCTCTTCTACCTAAACCCCTTTCTCAACTCTGGTCTTCGGCTCCTGCCATTCCATGCCAAGAACATTCTTTCTCTTCNAAGATTTGCCTTCCCTCCAAGCCAAAAGCTGCTGTTTTCTGGGGATTTTCTCAAGCTCTTCCAGGTGAAATGTACAGAACATTACTTAATGTAAGAACAACACAGAGCAATGGAGAAGTTCTTTCCACTTTGGTACCAAACTGAATTCAAATACCTGTTTCCTGTGTCAGGTTCAGTATAAAACTATATTCATCCTCATGTCTATGGACCAGTGTCTTGATGGTAAGTGCTGTTCTTCTTTTTTCCCTTTCCCTTGTCAATGGTTCTGAAGACCAAGGTGTCCACAGAGCTGGTTCCTTCTGTGGACTGTGAGGG